TTGAAAATAGTCAATATAGTGAGAGTGATTCTTTTTCGTAAACTACAAACTGAGGATGAATCTATTAATACTCTTGATAGTGAAGAATTAAGTGACATTATTATTCCACAAAAAACTAATGAGCCCAAAGACCTTTCATTATTAACAAGTAATAATGAGATTCACATATCTAATCTTGGTGAGGATATGAAAATTGAGTTGAGTGTCATAATTGATAAAAATCTATTTTCTATCTCACTGTTAGATTTGCATAAAAATATTCATATCTCCCTTTTTCTTGCATGCTCCAATAATATATTGGATATATCAGTGGATAGTTTGATTAAAGAAGTTGCTTCCACACCATATTTTTAAGCCAATAAAATTAAATGGTCGCATATTCAAATCTGACTTTAAGCCAGATTGAGTATGAGCTTTTATTTTTATTTGTACATAGTAGTTAGATTTTATTTTATTTTTTTTGTTTAAGTTTAGTTTCCTTTTTGTTTGTTTCAATTTATAGTTTCCTTTTTTTTGTTGTTTTTTTTTTAAGGATTTAGAGTTGTTGCGGTACTAGGCATTCCTACCCCTTTGATCTTTTGTTCATTATTTTTATTGATCATTAAAGTATTTATTTTTACATTGAGGACAATGTTGGATTTAGGCTGGGGGTATGAGTATATTTTTTGTTGTAACAATTTCTAGTTTATTTATGTTGGTAAAAATTAAAAATTAAAAATAAAAAATTTTGTTATTAAATATTTAAATAACATTTTTATGCATAATTTGACATCACAATATAGAAATAATTCGCATAGCTTTAAATTTGCAACTTTTTAAGTATCACATAGAACTTTATTCTATATTTTTGTATTTTATATCATGTTCTTATAAAAAATCACAATTTTGCACTTTAAACTTTACCAAGTTAAAAATTTATTAGGTATTTTCCCTTGCAAACTTGAAACATATAGTGGAGATGCATAAAACCCCTAGTGAGTTTTGATCCAATTTTTCTTGGAGGGTTATTTACATTTGCTCAATAAAAAAAATTTTTATTCAGTTAATCTCTTTCAATAGTCTCATTATTTTTGTTTTAGTTAATACCAATATTTTGAATAATTGCTTGACTTTAAACTATTTGCATAGAAAGAGTGTAATCAAAAACTCTTGAGATTTGATTTTAGATCATCTTTGATATTATTTGAGCGTAAGCCTTATTATTTGAATATTATTATCCTAGAAGTTATGATTGAGCCTTTGAAGCAAAATTTTATTTTGCTTCACCCAACATATAATAACCAAGCCAGTGAAAAAAATAATATATTTTACCCATGGTTATCCTGAGATTGAGTTTTTTATTACTTATGTAATTTGGGAGATGTTGGTTGGAAAAAGATGTTCAAAATTAGAAAAAAAAAAGTTTTGGATACTTGTGAATACTTGCATTAGATGTTTTGCTAAAAAAAAAGTATATACATTCAATTGTCTTACTGAAAAAAAAGAAAAATTTGAGAAAAAAAAAAGAAAAAGAAAGACTATATGTCTACCAAATTGAAAAAAAAAAAAAAGAAGAGAAAATAGCAAGCATGTGTTTGAAAAGAAAAATTATGACCAAGTATTGTAAATTGTGCTTCTAAAAGGTAAAGAGTGAAAAGTTATGAAAAGAAGTTTGGTTGTGTAATGTACATGTTCTCTCGGGATAGTTTTTTGAATTCTTAAATATCCTTCGTTTCTAAACCCTAATTCAAGACCCTATTACAACCTTAATAAAGACCTATTTGATCTCAATAGTGTATTTGATGGATTTATGACTTGTGTGAATAAGGAAGAAATAATAATTATTTATTTATTATGTGTTGATTTCCTTACATGAGATTATGTCAAATACTTTTTTTTTTGGATTATATTTTTTAATAGACACATGAGTATTATTTTGTTTTAACTTAAATATCTTCTTCTCACAAGTGATATTTGAGGGAATAGTCACTATAAACTAAGAGAATCTTTTATGAGTGAATTATCTAGTGAGATTTGACATTGAGATGAATAGTTGATGGTTGTAGAGGTGATTATCAGACAAATTGCTAACTTAGTATAGTTAATTTACACAACACACAATTTTAAATGGGAACATGATAAGTGCATACATTTATATAGCGTAGAATTTTGTGTACATGTGCTTATAAAAAGGGTTGTAGCTTAGAATTTTTATATTATAGTAGCAATTTGTGTTATCAAATTATTATTCAGATATTTGATCACAGGGTGATGTTATAAGTATCATCTCTAGAAACCCTCACGAGACTATATTTGTCCACTAGGAGGACCTAGGAGTTTAAATATTTGTTGCATATGCTAAACACAATCGTGAGGCCTACGAAAATGGATTTGTGTTTTATTTTATTAGTTTATTTAATTTTTTTTAGTTTTTAGATTTTAGGATTCATGTATTACTAGGGACTAGTAATATTCAGGTTTTGGGGATGTGATTAACCATCAAAATTGTTATTTTATTATATTTAACTATTGGTTAATTACATATTATTTGTGATTAAATGTGTTAAATTTTTTGATTTTTTAGTTTGATACTTTTTTTCTAGTTGTTTGACTTATTTTGCACATAAATTGGTTGATTTAAAGTAATAATGTATAAGACAAGTGAAACAATCACAAGAAGAAGAATCACAATTGATAAGGATTGAAGAGTCAAGATTGAAATAGGAAGATTTGAAGATATGGTAGCAATTTAATCCTTATAAGAGTCCAAATTATAAGAAAATTCATTTAAAGTTGGATTTGAAAAGTATCAGAGAAAATAAGAATTTGACACGTTTTCAGTATTTTGGTCATAACTTTTTACTCCGATATCCGATTGACTTAATTTTTACGGGTTGGAAAGAAGAATCCAAGGGCTACAAAAGTGTATTTAATGAAAATTTTGTAAATCAGCCTCTAAATATGCAAAATTCAAATTCAAAATTTGAATAGATTTTGTACTCACAACCCAAAGATTTTATGCACAGGATTTGACCTTGAAAGACTTCTTTTTGAAAAATAATTCTTCCCAAACCAACCCTAGATTTCCTACTTATATCTATGTTATATTTTAGTGTAAATAAGGGTTTTCCCCTATTGAGAAGGATGATTAAGACTATGATTATTATTCTTTTTTCATCTTTTTTTTTTCTAGTTTTTTTGTTTTAGTTCTATGGCTTGCTAAAAGCTCAACTAAATTTATGGGAGATACTTTCTATGAAACACAATACTTATTATTGATTTAATATTTTTTTTAATGTATAATTTATTCTTTTAATTTAATTCTTGTCTTTTAGTAAAATTTTTGTTCAGTAAAAATCCTTGAGTCATTGTGTCATGTACTTTGATTGCTTGAATTTCACTGCGAGTCAAATAACTGGTTATTTTGTGCTTGAATTAATTAATTAGAATTTCTCATAATATAGTTGATTTTTTATTTGGAATAAAATAAGATTTACCTGTTTGAAAAATTGATTTATCGTAAACTCTGTGTATGGTGAATGTTTGTGATCTACAAGTAAATTCTTATATTTATTCGGATAATTCATTAATTATAACTTTTGATGTTTTCATATTATCAACGCTAAATATTTTGATTGGATCACTCTTCAATTGAGTTCGAAAACAGGATCATTAATAATTACTATGTGGATTTGAAAGGGTATTCCCAATGCTTTAGTATTTTCAATTATTGTTTTAAAACCAAATTTCAAAATATCTACAACAATTTTTTCAAAATAATTTTCTTTTAATTTTTTTTGTGTTCTAAATTTTTTTTAATTCCCTGTAATTCGACTTCGGACTCCCGAGAATTTTATTACTTCACCCAACCTGTGCTTGAGTTAAACATAATTAAAGTTGATAAATTAGCGATATGGGAGGCATCCTTAGGTATGTAAAGGATGAGAAAATAATCTAATCGTTGAAGACCTAACATTCAAGATCGCAACACTACGTTCAAACTAGAGGCTTGATGTTCGAACTATCTACAAGACGTTCGAACATAAGATTGGACATTCAAACATTGTTTGCTCCTAGTACTTTTACTTTTCCATCACAATTTTCTATTAGACACCAAAGTAGTGGGACTAACTGTCGTTCAAACGAATTCATTCGCGTTTGAATGGACTCCAGTTTTTACATGAACTTTCAAGGAAGTTTTGGCTTAGTTAGAGGTCGATTCACAAATTTTTTTGTAAAACACACTTTTGTAGCACTTTAAGTCTATTTTCTATTATAAATATTTCAAATCAATTGGACATTAGGATAAAAGTTATAGCCAAAATACTAAGGTTATGTCAACTCCTATATCCAAATCCTATTTAAAATGTTTTAACTTTAGAATATTTTTAAATTTTTAATACAACTAATATAACATCTTCTATTATTTTTTGAACTTCTGGATTCATTAGAAACATTATATTTATCTAAATATATTTATAAAATTATTTAATCACCCTTCTTAAATTTAAATATTTTCAAAACTCAATTTACCACCGTAAATACGTGCGAAAACTCAAATTATATAATTAATCTTTTAAAAATAATTTTAAATTTCTATCATCATTTTATTTATTTAAAGAGAACTTTTAAAATAATATTATCTTTATTTAATTTTTATACGAAATCTTACATAGACGCGTGCTATTTAAATTATATTTAACTATGGAGGCATATAAGTCAAACTTATCAATCACTTCAAACAATTCAACAATGAGATTTGATCACTAAGAGTAATATGAAAACACGACAAGAAATCGACATTGTTGTCGAGTCACCGTAGTAATATTGTTGCGTATGTTTCAAGCCATGAAACAATGGGTGTTTTGGTAATTTAATGCATTGTCATGCCTGAATAGACAAAAAACTACCGCATCCCCATAAGCCTCCGGGTCTGCCAATCCTTTTTTCTCTCTCTATCCGCTTCACAGGCTTTCATTCCATTAAATTTTTTTTTTATCAGATCAGTCCATTAATTCATTAGAGCAAACACAAAAGCTCATTGGATTTGGGATACCTCCAACCTCTCTCTCTCTCTCTCTCTCTCGCTCGTGCGCGCGCGCTCGCTCGCTCCTGCATATCCTTTACTTGGATATGACATAATCTTCTGCAATTCAAATAAATATTTGGATACCCACAAGTTCATCTTCTTTTTTGTTTTCTCTAATTGCCAAAATATAAGAGCATATCTACACATATCACGCATTTATTTCTTACACTCTGTCTCTGGCTGTATATGTTCTTTACCCTGTTTCTTCGTTTGTTCATGGATACTACTTCTACCCCACAAATCATCCAAAACCATAACACAACCAACGTTAGCAATGAAGTTAACAGGAAAGAGATTCAAGCAGCCATTGCTAAAGCATTGGAGCTCAGAGCTCTTCATGCTGCTGTGATGCAGGGTAGTAGCCCTGCCAATCTCAGGTGTCCCACTGTCTCCCCTACTTCACACCCAGCCTTTTCTGCCCCGGATTACCCAGTTTTTACACCCGTGAGTGATTACTTTTTTCCTTTTTGTGTACTTCTATTTGTATTTATTGTTTTATGACTCAGGGGTCATAAAACAGGGGTCTAATTGTTTCCTTCTTTATTATAGTTTCACTATGATCTATTATTGTTGTTGAATTCTTTCGATCTTTAATGGGTTTCCTACCTGGTGTTGCTAGATAAATATTTCATGATTAATACAAACTCAATACTTGATTTTCTCATTTATCATAGATTCTTCAATTTTAGCTTAACGTTCTTGAATTTTAGACTCAGTAGGAATGAACTGAATTTCCATGAATTCCTTGGACCATGGTGTAGATATCTGTGCATAATTAAAGTAGCAGTAGAAATACTTTATCCCAACTACACTCAAGCTTCATTGCTTGACATTGTTTCCAAAGGAAGGCTTTAATGTTGAAAACCTTTACTAGCGGGTCACCCTCGATTCAATTTTGTCAATTATAAGAAATTATTGTCTGTATTCTTCCTAATGAAGATGGTGGAGTAGAAGAGTTTCGTGAATGGTATGGAAGAGGTGAAGAAGAACATAAAAGTGAAAATGGACTAAGATTGTGGTCAAGGTTGTATCTAGTCTGATCTTTGTCGCCGATTTGGTGCCTTGCTTCACAGGTATATGAGGAAGGATTGGGGGTTGGAGGTTGAGGTGGGGGAGAGTGGTGCTAGGGTGAGCCTTAAGAGTAGGAGAGGAGAAAAGACAAGAGGGATTGGGTTTTTGGTCTTAATGAAGTTTTGCTTATTGCCTTGTAGTTTGGGTAATACTATACCATGTGCTATTTGGCAATGGCTACACTTTGTGGGATTAATTACTTAGCAGTGGAAATAAATCTCTATGGCAGTTCATGTTCCTTTCGCAGGGTCGAGCAAAGCATACGAGACGTAATATTTGTCTACAAATTTTTCTGCTTTCCTAGGTGGATGTTTTTCCTGAAACATAAAGAAACTTGTTTTGTACATGTATTAGCTCTTTTCCATTTTGACAGTGTGTAATGACGCCAAGAAATTTTGTACAGAGTTATGAAGATAAACCCTTACCGGGGCACCAGCAAATTCTAATGGTGAATCCAAATTTTGCTGGAAGTCAGGAAGACTATGGACTAGAAAGAAGTGATGATGAAACTTCCCTACCAGATTACAAAAAGACGAAGGCATCTTCAAGGAAAGGATTGCCCTCGGAATTGGCCAACTTAGAACACCATATATGTCCAGCTGATGATCAAATATGTGTCACAGGTTCTTGTACGAACCTCGTTACTGTGCTTCAAGCATCGCCTGGAACCGATTTCTGCAGGTCTAGGAGAAACAGTTTGGTAGAATTCAAATCAGTATCATCCTTCAACAGAGGCAAGCCCAGTATCATAGCTACTGTGACTGAAGGTGGCACCAAAAGCGTCAAGAAACCCAATATAGTTGTGCCATTAACAGACTCACACTCTTCTCTTCATCCACCCTCAAAACATCGTGGATTCAATTTGACATGGTTGTTTCCTCGGCTAAAGAAGAGGCACAAGGATGAAAATTCACCAACTCAAACACAATCTGAGAAAGTTTCCCCAATTTTTGAAGACCTTGAAATAATGTCAATTGAGACATTGAAGAAAGAACTTGTGGCAGCAAAAGAGAGCAGAGATGCATCTTTAATAGAAGTTACAGAGATGAAATCCTCACTGGGGGAGCTAAAACAGAAACTGGAGTACTTAGAGACTTACTGTGAAGAGCTCAATAAAGCCTTGAGAGTAGTAGTTGAAGGAAAGAATTCCCAAGTACCCGAAAAGATTGGAAATCTTGAAAAAAGATGGAAATCTGTTAATGGGAATGGAGAAAACATGATGCCAGTTAGTGAGGAAGTAATGGTGGAGGGTTTCTTGCAAGTAGTATCAGAAGCAAGATTATCAGTAAGGCAATTCTGCAAGTGTCTCGTAGGACAGATTGAAGAGACTGACAACACTCTAATTGATAACTTAAATCTCCTCCTTCAACCCTACAAACTGTCTCGAAATTCGATGTTCTCGAAGGCAGTATTATACCATTTGGAAGCTATCATAAACCAGTCATTCTATCAAGATTTTGAGAACTGTGTGTTTCAAAAGAATGGCCCACCAAAGCTCTTAGACCCTCGACAAGATCGCCAAATGCATTTTTCATCATTTGTGGCACTGAGGAATCTCAGCTTTAATGAAGTGCTAAGAAAAGGGACTAAATATTACAGTGACGAATTCAGTAAGTTTTGTGATCAGAAAATGAGTTGCATTATAAAAACTCTAAATTGGACAAGACCGTGGCCCGAGCAGCTCCTCCAAGCATTTTTTGTTGCTGCCAAATGCATCTGGTTGCTCCATTTGCTTGCATTTTCATTTAATCCGTCTCTTGGGATTTTAAGAATTGAAGAGAACAGAAGTTTTGATCCCCATTACATGGAGAATATTTCCATGGATAGACAAAGGTCACATGGTCCGAGCCGAGTAAAGATCATGGTAATGCCAGGGTTTTATATGCAGGAGAGAGTGCTTAAGTGTAAGGTTCTTTGCAGGTATAAATCTGTAGCCTAAGTTTGGTTTCCCCCTTATTTGTGGCAATCTAGTTTTAACCTGAAGTTTCCGTTGATATTGTTTAGAAAAGTTTCTTTAAGTTGCTCAATGAAATGGTGTTGATACCTGCTGGGGTATCAGGGTACTAGAATGCTTTCTCGCATTGTTTTGCAATTGGCATTGCCCATACAATTGAGTACTTCTGCTGCTGCTATCACCAAACTGATAATTCTGCTTTGACTAATTGGCTGGACCGTAGGACAAAATTTTCTTGTCCTCTAAAAGGTGGCTCTTTACATTAATAAATTTCCAATATACAAATACAACAACAGTTAAGATTGAACTATTTTTCATGTATTTTGATCTAATGGTGCAAAATTATCTAATATTACAGATAGAAAGTTAAATTCTCAATCACAATAACAGTTAAGATTGATCCATTTTTTTATCTACTTTGATTGACTTACAATTCATCCCCAAAAAAAAAATTTCCTCCTAAAAAATTTGCCCATATTTCTCTCTTGTGTATTTTTTTTTTAAATTGCATAATTAAAGAAAAAAAAATTATTATTTAAAATATAAATATTATACAATCAATGCTCAATTCTAAGTATTGCAGAGTATTTTCATACACGGGATTAATGATATGTTCTATTTAGGTGTGGTTTGGACTCATCCTTTTAAGTGCAAATAAACTTTTATAGTAAAAAGTGCAGATTTAAACTATTTTTTCATAAAAACAACAATAGTTTTATAAATAAATTAAAAATAATGGTAAACATACAGCTAGACTTTAATATTACTTGGGGGAGCTTTTGATAAGCTCAAAGGATTCGCAAGTTCACGTTTGTTTCATGGGTTTTGGTTGGATAAGATGGTTGGAATAGGTAAAATAATCACGTGACCCCAACATCGAGACCCCATGCTCTGACAATGACATGTTCTTCGGCCCCAAGGCATATGCCCTCGGCTCCGAGGGTACCTCCACTTTGGGGGAGTCAAGTGACCTTGACCTCGAGGGTACCCATTGAAACCCTGATCTTGCCACAAGTCCTCAGTTTCTAGAGAGGCTACTGATTGACAGTTGAGCGTCTAAACTTGACTAGGAATCATGAGAGCACTCTGCACAATGAAGCCAGAATAGCAGAATGAACTGGACACTCAACTAAAAAGAGTCAATCACGTGGCATAGAGTGTAGAATCGGGGATAAAAAGACAATAGTACCCCTACTGACATACGGTTGTTTCAAACAAACATTTAATGAATCTTCAAATAATGGGACATCCATAGTGGCTTTGGGAGCCAAGGAGGGGGAGCATTAAATGATCCAAGGCTTGTGCATTTAATGTCTCCACATTGAATAAAAAGCATTAAGTGCTCGGCACACCGAACAATTAATAATGGGACTTCCCCATGCAAAATAGGAGGCACACTACCCCATTTCTGGATGCTACCTGTTGTCTAGACCATCAGTAATGATGGGTTTTTGAAAGTATAAATAGTTATCAAAAACACATTGCAAAGGGACGCAAATTCACCCCTCAAGAGTAATACAATGCTTTCTTTTTCCCCTCTCTCAAAGAACTGACTTGATCGTCAGAGGGGATACGCCAAAAAACACTCTAACGCCCTTCTAACTTATTTTCTGTGTGCCAGGAACGATCTGCCACTCCCCAGGATCAACTAGATAGTCCCAAGAGCAATTCATCACCACTCCTTAGAAGCCCCCTTTGGCCCTCTCAACACATTCCTTGCTGCGGGATCCACCACATTGATGAACATGAGTTCACTAGAGGAGAGATCTGTTCCCATTACATCTATTATGCGAAAATCATTGTGCACACTCTGGTGTCATCTATGGGAAACGACTAGATTTTTCGAAAAACAGTGATCATGGTGAATATTCAACAAAAGGGAAATGGTCCTTAATAAAGGAATATCGATTTACCAGCCCCCTCTATCTCAAGAACGAAAGACCACGCTAAAAGTGTCAACAAGGGATTTTCTGTTCATTCGAGGGAGCAGACCCGCCAAACTAGTATGGGTATTGGGTCTGGAAGATCCGCCTCGCTAGCCCATCAACTGGCTGAGGTAATTGAGAAAAAGTTTGGAGATTGGTTACGACAGTTAGAAGAGGACAACATCAACGTCCTTAATCAACTTGATGAATTCACATTCTCTGGTGGGGGATCTCGAGACCTATTGTGGTCTAGGGAACCCTCCGTCGGGGAGGTGGGACCTGAGGATCTGAGAAATCGTCTGAGTGGCAGAGCGGGGAGTTCCAAGGCTCCAAAGCGCCTGAGGGCCAAAGGATGTCTCTTGGAGGTCCCAGCCAAGAAGGCTAGGCCATTGGCTTGGGATGGCCGCCATCGGGGACTGTTCGGGTGAGGGGGCGTGGAGGAATCCGAGGAGGGGTCGACCCTCTCCATTCGACACTAGGGGTTGAGCGACCATGCCGGCTGGCGCCAAGAAGATGGAGGGATGTTCCTCGAACAAAGGAATGACCTCAGGACACGGTTGGACTCCAATAAGAGATGTAAGCTACTGGTAGAAGTTCTACTTGTAAGCTACTGGTAGCTTCCTCCTACTGGACAGGTACTACCTGTTAGCTACCGGTAGTTATTGCCTGCTACCGGTAGGTTTTGTCCAGAATTTCATATTTCATTGGTTTTTCATTTCCAATTCATCCCAAATCTTCTCAAATCCATCCCAAACATGTATAATAACATTTTCTACATTATACATGAACAATATAAGTTCTATTACATGCCTTTACATAATTTACATGTCAAAACGGCATTTAACCAAAGTTTTTACAAAACTTGTTTTCAAAAGCCACAAACTGACTTTTCGTCATCTTTGAGGCCCTGAATGTGAGTCCTCCACCGGTACGAACCCCGCACCTAAAATGTGTCCCCGTATAGGGTGAGCCAACGCCTAGTAGATTATTTCCTACAAGGGCTACTCCCCAACCTAAATGCATATGCAATGTTCACATGCAACATTTAACAACAACAATCATTCCAACCAACGCTTAAGCAAGTCAAGGTTGAAATCTCACATACCATGCCATGAAATGAGATGACACCCATTCATGCAATTTACCCGAGCCTTTCCCTGCTCCACAACACATGCTATGCCAATATGTATTAACACCGAGCTTTTCTAGTTTCGGCTATCTACCTTCACCCCATGCTATGCAGTGAGAATCAAAACTGGGCTCTCCAAGCCCCCGCCATTTGTTTTTCACACCCAATGGCTAACTAAAACCTCCGGGTCTTTCTTGGGGTGGGTGTTTATGGACTTACACCAACGGTCACCCAACCGATACGAAATTCATAGACTTTCACCAACGGTTCCGCATACACCGACTCACTTTATGGGCTCTTATACCAACGGAAGTGCGTATCCAAATACCGGTTTCTCACCCGAGGGATAGTCTAAATCTTCTTGCTACCCCCGACCCAAGTCTTTTTCATGCAATCGTGCGACTCAGTCGGACATTCAATCCAACTTTTCCGAGCCCACCCATCATCCACCAACGTGGTGTTTGATGCCAACCATGCACCCACACCCATAAAATGCGATGTCTACATGCATATGCAATGTAATGGATCATTGCTATTTCAACATCATGCCCACATGTAATGAATGTCATATGAGCAATTTCAAATCACATGTCTACATACAATGTCAATATCTCAATGAGCACATATTAACATTTATTTCCAACACATTTTCTAATCATGTTATACATCATCATATCATAACAACTCAATCCACACATAGGCATTTTGGCAAACATCTTCAAGGCAACAATTCATGTTATCACACGAAAATTTTCACCTCATCCACAAAGCATGATATAAAACATATAGCATGCCCACATAACACCCATTTTCCATAGAATTACACAATAATTGGAACCCATCAATTCCAATCTAGGAATTTTACTTAAATTAGTTCAAATTCACATACCCAATTCACCAATCACCCAATTCCATCAATTTCACAACCATAGACAAGTGATATATATATCTATCCATCTACCGATTACATATAACACTCAAGGTTGTGAAATAAACCCAAGTAAGAAGGAACACTACCTCTTGAAGTGTAAACCCACTTAGTAGAAGCCCTCAAGACTCAAATTCTCGCCCCAAGCCCTTGATTCCACCAAGCTTGGTTTTGAAACTTCGGTGAAATCTCTCATTTTTGGTGTAGTCATGTAGCCCTCGACGAGGAGACCGACTTTTTTTCTTGCCCCGAGTAGATTTGAGCATCGTAGCCTTGTAGATCGTAGAGAGAAGGTAGAGTTTTCCTCACTTTTCCTCTCTTGCTCTCAACGTTAATGGCTGGCTGAAGAAATGAGAAAAAAATCTGATTTTCTCCCTATTTATACTCTTAGAATACTTGGCTCACAATGCCCCACACAACCCTTTTGTTTTTGGGTCCGTTTGTATCCCAAAATGATTAAATTTCATCCCGGTTCAAGTTCAAATAAATTTTATTTTAATTTGCCTTTAATTATTTTCTAGATTTTGAAATTTTATTGAAAATCTCATTTTTGGGTCACCGAGACTCGATCGTCTAGTAAAACGCAAAAAATTTGACTATCTCAGAATTCGATAAAATTTGACGTGATAACTAAATTTCGCGAGACGAATCCAACGGTGAGGTCCGTTTCATCATCCGAGATCTAGAAAAATTTATATTTTCAACCCGTACTATAGTGGCAAAATTATTATTTTGCCCTTGTTTATAAAAGTTTAAATTTATCGGATTTTACATTCTTCCCCCTTAAAAGAATTTCGTCCCTGAAATTCACATACATACACACACGTATACACTCAATCGCATGCATATGCAACAATGACTTTATACATAAAGTCATAAAACTTGTACCTCCATCCTTGAACAGGAACGGATAGTTGGTACATATAGTGTCCTCACGCTTCCATATCGCCTCCTCCATGCCTCGGTGATGCCACAACACATTCATTAGCCACACGGTCTTGCCTAGCAAAACTTGCTCCCGGCTATCCATGATGCGCACCGGTTCCTCCTGAAAAGTCCCATTAGCATCAACAATCATCTTACCCCAATCCACTGCATGTG